TATATATATATCGTCACAAACAGAACTGCCCGGTAAACCGTAGGCAGAGAGAGAGAAGAGGACAACAAACGAGGGGCTGTGACAAACTGTTTCGTCGGAGTTTCACCGACTCATCAGGAGTATCGTCAAACAGAGCTGCCCGGTAATATATATAATATATAAAATAACTCTTGCGCATACTAAGGATTAGTAAGGACGATGCTGAGGGAAGCCTCCAGGAGTTCTTCCTAGGGATGCTGTTCCAAGTTTTTTGAAGGGAAGAGCGCTATTGCGCCTGGTTACTACTATATCTCCCGTGTGCTCAACCCCTCCCTTTCTTTCTTCTGCCTACTACTATATCTCCCGTGTGCTCAACCCCTCCCTTTCTTTCTTCTGCCTCCTTCTTCTTCTTCTTCTTCTTCTTCTTCTTCTTCTTCTTCTTCTTCTTCTTATCCTTCATCTCCTTCATTTCCTTGTTCTCTCTCCCCTATTTCCCTCGTCGGTTCTGACGAATTGTATGTATGGATCGAGGGCGACGGTAACTGGCATTGTGCTAAGATCGAGCGATACGTTCGTTTTCTTTCGAGTGAGCTCGACGGACCTCGTGATCAGCGGCTTTCTGCCCCGCCCATGTAGCTCTCCTACTATCCTATTCCGATGCCTGTGTGCTTCATTTGGGCTAAACCGCTCTGTAGAATGTGCCGGGTTTTCTGCCAGGGCTAGCGTTACGACGACCAGTCCTCCCGCTTTTGGTAGCGCTGCGGCGACCAGCCCTCCCGCTTACCGCTGCGGCGACCAAGCTCACCAACAAACCAAACACTTATGAGACTACAAAGTGTACGCTTTTGCAAGTTAGTGGCGAAACTGAGCAAACTCTTCTCCCTCCCCCCGCCGCCCCCCCCCTCCCCCTCTCGGCTCTTTCATTTCACTGGTGCTTTTCGTGCCAACACACACACACACACACACACACACACACACACACACACACACACACACACACACACGCACGCAGACACTCGCTCGCTCTGACTTGCATTGAAGTCCAAATGCGCACGCGCAGAGCAGGCGCACTCGCGCGCGCAAAGGCACAAACACACAGGCGCATACACGCACGCACACACGCGCAGGCACGGAGGCACGCCCACAACCACATTTACACACACACACACACACAGAGAGAGAGAGAGAGAGAGAGAGAGAGAGAGAGAGAGAGAGAGAGAGTAGATCCACCCAATTGGGCTGCGCACTGAAGGATGGCACGGTCGGATCGGTGGAGGAAAAGCCCTGTGTGGCTTTTTCCCCCCCTTTTCCTTCCTGCTATTTTCATCATCGAGGATTCAATTTGGCGAATCACACCTGGGTGACCTGGTTGCGCCATGTCGTTTGATTGACTTAGAGTTAACTCCAGTGGTATTGATTGCTTCCCGCGATTGGTGTGAATTTGATGGCCATGCTGGCCACACGGCGGGGATCTCATGGACTGACCGGGAGCTACCTTCATGTAGGCTGGCCTTGTACGTAAGAGGCGATGAACAGGTGGGGCTTTCCTTCCTTCTTTTCCTTTCCTTGTTTTGCTTTTTTTCGCCCTCGCGCTCTGATTCACAGTGTGACAATAAGTCCTCTGTCAGGACTGTTTTGATGGGATGGTTTGTGCTAGCCGTCCTGCTGAATGCTGTGCTGGCGCAGCTGTCCTTGGGCATCCTTGGGAACATCCACATCATCCTCACCGTAGCTGTCCTATCTGCCGAGGTGGGGACAGGTAAAGAAAAAATGAAGAAAAGAAAAAGAGAAAAAAAAGAAAAAAAGAGAAAAAAAGAAAAAAAGAAAAAAGAAAAGATATGTTGATCTGTGGGATGTGTTATTTGCTTTGTGACAATTGGATTATCTTTCTTTCCCTGTCAGGTTTGGTTTCCTCCTCCTCCTTTTCTTTACCTCTTTTTTGCCTTTTGGCTGCGTGCAAGTGGGTCCTTGTGACACACGGGGATGGGGGCAGCCAGCGCTCAACCTGTCATCCACGTGGCTGGCCTTGTACGTAAGAGGTGATGAACAGGTGGGGCTTTCCTTCCTTCCTTCCTTCCTTCTTTTCCTTTCCTTGTTTTGCTTTTTTCCGCCTCGGGCGCTCTGATTTACAGTGTCACAATATATATATCGTCACATGAATATCAGAGCGCAAAGGCAAAAAAAACAGAAGAAAACAAGAAAAAAGTAATTCGTTTTTTTATCTTCTTCCTTACAACTCCCCCTGTTCATAAAGAACCTCTTTTGCGTACAAGGCTGCCCACGTGGATGTAGGTTGAGCGGGGGCTGCCCCCACCCCCGTGTGTCATATCGACCCACTTGCACACACAGCCAAAGGGCAAAGAGGCAAAGAAAAGAGGAAGGGAACTGTTACAGCCAAATACAACAAAACAGGGGGCAACAAGCAACAGCACCAAAAACAGATAGTAGATGACAAGTCCCACATGCAAGCACAGCCCTTCCTTCACAGGCCAAACGATGGGACAAGACCACCCAGGACAAAACTCTTGTCTGCAAAAAAAAGATAAATCCCAGATTACAAAACTCTTGTCTGCAAAAAAAAGATAAATCCCACACTAACCCTCGTGGACTGGCATAACTCCCATAATAAAGACAACGAAAAGTTCGGAAAAGTTATGCAGAAAAACCCCAACAAAGAATAGAGTCTATAGAGTGAGACTTACTGTTTATGAACTGTTACAGTTAAAACAATAACCCAAAAAACAGAACGGTTACAGTTACAGAACGGTTACAGTTTAGTTTTGGGGTATTTTCAGTAGAGTCACTCCGACAACTTATAATTGCAGTATGGGCCAAGAAGATACAGTTTGCAATTGCACTTCGGGCACCCTACACCTGGCCAGAAAGCTGGGTTCGAACTGCAATAATTCGAATCTGTATCTTGGCCCACAGTGCTC